AAAGAATTATGGGTGTTTTCCCTTGAGAAATGCAGAAAACCTGGGTGCCCTCAAAGAAAAGAAGGGCATCACAGCATCAAGGAGGAAAAGGTTTCCCGCCAGCCGGCAGAAATCCTTCCTCCACCTCTTCCACAGAGGAGGGCAGCCACTTTGTCACCACCACTGTCAACAGACAAGAGACAGTGATGCTGAGAGCCTGACCACCTCCAATAGAGGACATAGCAGCTCCAGAGGGATGCCGTGAAACCCACTGGGGTGGAAAGTGGGGGCTGAGGCCTTCTTGTCAACGATTATCACAGAGGATCAGAGGAAGCAGTGACGCTGCCGAACAATGGAGAGGTCAAGCAGTTCACAGCCATTTCATGACCCAGACAAGTCAAGGTCAAGAGATTCAGGTAGCAACTTGGCCTGGGCATGAGTTACAGCACAAATGAATTGTTTTAACAAATCAGCTTTGGTCAATTAAACCTAACAAGACGTGTTACATAACATAGCAGGGTCCCTGACACTAGGCCAGGAGCTGAGGCTGGCCTCATAAAACACATCTTTTAACATAGCATAACAAATTTAAGGTAATCCATCCAGAAACTGCACATGTCAGAAAAAGAAAACAAAAGTTGTCTTGACTAGGAGGTGTTCTCACACTTTTAAATCAGAAACAATGGATTATAGGCATCCTTTCAATGTATCTGGCATCATTTTCCATGGCGTTAGTCACACAGTGGAAAACTGATGCTGTGGTAAATACTCTTGTTAACTATAACATACAAGGCCCTCCAAAAAAAAATGTCTGAAGAAATCCAGCATTCCATTAATACTCATTTCATTAAAAAGGCTGAAAATTTCACTAAAAAGGCTGAAAATATAATAATAAAAAGGTATCTTAGGCCATTGTATTGATAAACAAAATACAGTAAGTATGACTTTTTAAATTATTTTTAATTTCTAAAGATGCTGAGTCTGTAATTACTGAATTCTAATATCTATGCAGCCTTTGTTTTCATTAAAAAAAAAAAAAAGTATAGGATTCTGTGTCATTTTATTGGGAAATGTTTTCTGAATATGGCAGTATGACTGACTAAACAGTAAATTGCAATGCTAGATTTAACATATCTTTCATAATGATCTTTCTTTGTTTTTTTAATTTATCCTTTATGAAAATCTGTATAGCATTTCAGTTTAATGCATCTTGAAGATTGAGAAGGCAAATATTTAAGCAGTATTTTCAATAACTAAATATATAAAATTCTCAATTGTCTAATATCTTCAAATAATATGGAATATATTTACTTGTACACATAATTTCTGTTGTTTGATATAAGAAAAACTATCCTTTTTATTTTTATTTTTATTTTTAATTGCTCAACAAACACACTGTTTCTCAAACAGTGTTTCCTAGCTGTCCACTAGCTGACTTTGCTGTTCTGTCTCCAAAGAAGAGAAGGTGAACTGCTTTGTTTTGTTTCAGCACACATTTTTCAGGGACTAAACAATTAGAAGTCCTCTTCAAGTCAGGGAGATGCCTTTAGTGAAGACACTTTTGTAACACTAAAGGGCACTGGAAAATGTAAAATTCCTCTTTCTCTGGATATATAGTTACTGTTAGAACACCCAAGGTTTCTCTAAGGGAAGAGCTTGATGGTCAGTTTTGTGCTATTCTTTGCCCAAAGCTATCATAGTAATTTCTCCTAATTTCAATTCTATTTCTTCAGGTTTAAAAAATGAATATTTTTAAAGATCCCAAATATCGGAAGTAGTTAGGAGGGACACAAAATTAAAAAGATCCCAATGTCTGGACAACTTCAAGTAACTTTTTTTTATATGAGATGGGGTACAAGGTAAAAGAAGGATGTGACAAAAGAGTCTTGAGGCATGCAGGAAAAACCTGCAACAATTAGGCTGGCTAAAATGGTCCAAAATGTTATTTTTGCTAAACATACTCTAGATTTCTACTTCTTTCATAGACAGAATCCCCCACAAAAGCCATGTCTGAAGTACCTATCTCCCACTGACAGTGAAAAAAGCTAGAACAAAAGTCACATGCCAATAATGAGGCACCGAAGAAATGGCTAAAGAAACATATTTGGGTGGGGAAAAAAAAATAAAATAAAATAAAAAATAAAAAATAAAAAAAGGAAAGAAGGGTGGAGAAGAGAGAAGGAAAGTAATCTTTCTATAAATTAAAATGTGGTGGGGAAAAAAAAAAAGAAAAGATAACAGCTGCGCGAGAGGAATGTTCCCAACGTCACACACAACTCACTGCTCTCAGACACTACAATATACACACCCAAATCAACTCGCTCTTCTCTTGGACAAAGTTAATAATCCGTGATTTACTTTTCCATTACTAGCTTCTGAGACTTTCACGCCACTTTTAATCCAACCCCTCATTGCCCAGAGCTAAGTTTTTTAGCAGGTGCTTCTTGAAATTTCTAGTGATAGAAAAATATATAAATAAACAACTAACAGAGGAAAATCGTGTAGCCTCTCCAAAAAGAATGGGGTCTTCCTTTTCACATTCACTAAGCATCTGAAATGTGTTTCCAGACAAGGGGTTTCTTCTCCAACCCAAAATGGAAGTAATGACTCTGTTTAGTTAAGTTAGCCCTTTAACTTGATCCTGAGATAATCCCATTCGATTGCAGCAAAGCAGCATCCACCATCCTGCTGGGACTGGATCATAACTCCTTAGGAAAGTCGCTGGATTATTCTGCTTGGCATTGAAGTGCGCAGTTCCAAAGACCAAAGCTCCAGCCAGCCACCATTCCTCCAGCTTTCTATTCTGCTCCTTCACTAAAAGCAGGAAAAAGGGGGAGAAGGAAAACCCAGGGAGAAAGGAAAGCTGGAAGAAGATGTTGGCTTGACAGCAGACTGGTGCAATAAACTTCAGAATCCAACATGCAGAGGAATTACTGTTTAATTATTTTATAACGTTTTCACAGCTACAATGAATTCAATATGCATAAAAATTAAGAAATTTAAAACATAGACCTCTGCTGTTAAGTATTTCCTTCACAAATTAGTGGCCTTATTTATAGTTTTGAAGCATTTTGCTTGTTCCCAGCATTGTTCTTCTGTCTGAAACTATCGTGAAGCAAGAGTTTTCTGTTTTCATTTCTATTCTTTTCTTCACTTTATAGCTTCTTGCTGTTGATCTAAATGTGATTCAAAAATTAATGCTGACTTCTAAATTTTCAACTAGTTGCACAAAATTTATTTAACCGTAAGCTTCCTTTGTCTTCAACACAATTACATCATTTAACCCTGTGAAAATTACCTCCCTGGTGTATCAAGCAGGAAAAAAACTGAATAAGCAAAAAAAAATGACTCCTTCCTAAAACATATAGATATATATATATTTCATTTTTTATTTCAGTATTAAAAATTACCTTTTCTTTCTTATGAATCTGTGGTATTACTTATAAAACTTGAATTTGAAAAGAGAAAAATAGACATTTGGGATTTTTCAGTTTTACTGTGTGAATGGTAGGTGAGTTTTTCAAGTGTTTAAATTTCCCATGACTTCATGCAAAAAATAACAATAATCATCAATTGAAAAACATTATTATGCCCATATATACAATAAATTAACTTCCATTTTTTAATGACAAATGTCTTCTCTGTCTGCAGTTTTCAGCACATTTGAGATAGTCAACAAAGTGATCATCCCACGTTTCACATCAGAAAACTAGAAAATAAATCAATGAGGCTTCCTTTTCAGTTGACACAAGGAGTGTTTTAAAATTACATTTTTTGCATGCCTGAATAGACTCTAATTGCTCAAAATAATCCAATGTTTTTAAAATGTTTATTATTTCCTGTTAGATTCTCAAACCACAACAAGCTCCCCTTACATGAGAGCAAATAAAATACAAACTCCTACCTCTACTTGTGCATTGGTTAAAAATTGATACTGAATACAGGGGATAAGCATGCCATTTCAGTGTCCAAGAAATAGGCTGCAAGAACATACAGACACCCACAGGGTAAAGCCAGTAATAATCTATATTTCCTGTTGTTCTCAGTGGAATTAACAATTTGCTGTGTAAACTCCAACAAATCGCCCTGTGCTTTGACATATCCTTCTGGAAAACAGGTAAAATGTTCAACCGTTTCTTCCCGTATAATCATAAGGCACTAAGGAGGAGGCAAATAAGTTAAAGGGTGTAGGAACAATTAGCAATTCAGCAGATTGATTGATTATTCTAGGCCTATTTTTTTCGTTTTATTAATTGTGTGTGGAAGCATCAGTGCACTCAAGAAACACAAACCCACATCCAAATTCCTTCAGGGTGTGGCAGCATTTGGGCACATGAACGTTACACACATTACACAAAGAGGATATCGCTTAAAGAAAGTTCAGGGTGTGATTTCAAGCGGAATTTCTTGTGCTCAAGGCAAACAGACAACAACAAAAAATGCCATTTTAAAATAGAAAAAAATATTTTTATTATACCGCTACATTCTCAATTTCATGTGTTTACTAAAGCTAAACTGGATGCACAATGTAAGAATGACTGCACAGACTTATTAAAAAAAAAATGAGCTTCCCATGACAAGGAAGTCACAAAATGCAAGAAGCCTGATAAGGGGGCTGCGCCACTGACCTGCTGAGAGGCCACTGGCCCATTCTTGCAGTTCAGAGGCATCTCCTCTGAGCTACGCAGATTCCCTTCTGAAAGTAGAACACGCTGTCCAAAGTGAGACAGCGCATCCTTGCTACCGGCTCTGCCAAAGAGAAAAGTCAGCATCCCAGCTCAGCAAGGGATCGCTGACCCCTCAGCGCTTGGCTGGGCTGGAAACAGCTCCGGATGCACACAGGTGCAGCAAAGGAACGCCCACACTCCGGATGAGCCCCAGGCAGCCTGCGGCAGCCGTCTAGTGTGCAGCCTGCCAACCTGCTCCTTGGGTCTCCCCAGGTGCTGGGCAGATGAGTCCGCAAGGCAAAGCTCTCCCCTGCCGACCTGTAGGGAGCTGGCCTCTCCCACCCTCTCCCCCTCTTGACGTTTTTCTCTCCCCTTCCTTTCTCCCACGACCTCCGGAGATGCAGGACACAGCCTGGTGATCCCGGGGCTCGCATAGGCCAGGCTTCCTTCTGCGCGGACCTTTGGGAAGGGCTTGCTAATCCTCCTTATTAATTAATGAGATAATAGCAGTTAACCGGAAAGCAATATTAATGCTATCTAGGAAACTTCCAGCACAAATGATTTAGTCTTTTCACCAAATTGCTGGTAGCAGAAATCCCGCAGCTGGAACAGCAACATCTTGATGTGTAAAGAACTTAAATCAGGAGTGCCTGAGCAGTACCAGACGTAGGACATCTGCATCTATTTTCTGCTCTCATTCTTGGATAGTTTAAAAGATCCTCCCCTCAACTTCACATTTTATTAACAGCTGGGGATGCAGGCTCCCCCAGTTATACCAGTCTTGCACAAGGACAAAGGAGAGTGTAAACAGCAACATGACTGATCTGAGAGATATACTCCGAGAGGCACACGCGTTACACACTTTAAAATGTTTACCATTTACATTTACCATTGCTTGAGTCCTTTATACTCCCAAAGTATTTCTTATGCCTATTATGCTTCATTCACTATCTGCTAAAATGCTCTGCATTTTATTTATGCTGCCAGGAAGAAAAACAGCAGAGACAACATGAGGATCAGGAATTCTGCAGATGAGATCCATTGCTGTAGATATTTTATATTTTTTAAAAAGAGCGGTGCGATTTTATTTTTTTTTTTATCAGCCATTGTAAGTTTAAGCAAAACATCTCTCAGAAGAAGGGATTTATATTATCTGGGTTCTGTTGCAGCAAACAAGTACTGCAGCTTTCATTCACTGATTGTCAAAAACTTTCCAATGTGCCCACTGCAATGCGGATGCCAACCAACGAATCAAAGGCATTCAGCAACTAGACAAAGAGGGTCTGATGCCAACCTCGGTGCCACTGGCAACCATTATTGGCATCAAGCACATTGTCTGCCTCTTTTTTTTTTTTTTCCTCCTCTCCTGGCACTTGACAAACAAAATGGCGGTTCTTGTAGCAACGGGAACGCAGCATAAGCGCTGCACTGATTGAGTCAAATATCATCAAATGATTTTTTGGACTCAGACGCATTTCATAGCAAACGACAGATACTCTGTGATGCCAGATAAAAAGAGAAAGAATGAAAGCGTGAAAGAAAAGAGAAAGTAACAAGAAACAAAAATCATTTTTATCATTAGAAACAATACCCTTGACATTTTCAAGGTTTAAGGTTTTTAAAAACTCAGGCGGAGTAAACAGGGCACTGATGCAGAAGCAGAGCCCTGTAGAAGTGTATTATGAACAAAAATTATTTTGACACTAAACATTGATTACTGTGTCCATCCAATTTTCTTCCTCCATTTCAGTCAAAGGAGCAGCTTTGTAACTCTATGTTAAGCCTTTTTTTTTTTTTTTTTTTTTTTTTTTTAAGATTCTAAAGCACAAGAGGGTCGTAGAAAGAGAACAGGGGGAAAAAGATGCTGAATTCTGACAGAGGTGGGCAAAAAGGAGAACCAGATAAAGTTGGTCAACCACAAAACTTGATAGGTTAATGCTTAAGTCCTTATTTCTTACTTCAAGGCAGACATGGAAGTAGTCATTAAGAACTGAAAGAATTACTGACACTTCTAGATCTGGAAATTGTCAATATATTGTAACATTACTCTGCACTGCAATGCGGATGCCAACCAACAAATCACAGGCATCCTAGGCTAAACAAAGAAGGTCTGATGCCAATCCTGGTGCCACTGGCAACCATCACTGGCACTCGAACTATCCTTCCTCCTCCTTTTTCCTCTAATCTTCTTTTATAAAGCAACAAAAAAAAAAAAAACAAACTATTTGGCCCCTTTCTTCATTTTGTGCATTAATTCCTTCTTCGTATTTCGTTCAGTCATTTGTTTCAATTTCTCTGCTTAGTTTTTCATATGATGCTATTAGGCGGATTTTAGTATTCTAAAAGAGAAATATAGAGCAAAACAGCATGCGTAAAATGCAGCATTTTGGTTTACTTCATGCGTATCTTTTTCAAGTCTGATGCTCTCAATCAAGTACACTGCGAAGTCCAATTAACCTGCATTCACTGAGAGCAGAGAATCAAAGTGGCAAAATGGGGAAAAATACACAAAGATAACTGAATATGACTTCTTCAAGAGAGCAAACAGATGTTAGCAAAAGTTTAACTGTGAAGCAGCACGAGAGATACAAAATACATACAGTTTGCAATAAACAATGGCTTCTGCTAAGGGTAGCTTGATACAAAAAAATTCGCCAGTTTCATCTTCCAGTATATTCGCAGAGTGGCTTCTTGTAACCTTTGAAGTCATAATATTACAGCATGCTTATCTTTCTCATTTCTGTTTAGGCAAATATTTTGAATAAACTAATATTCTCTATTTGTTTAAATCAATGAAATCAGCTACGTTCCGCAATTCCTTCTCCAATTTCAAGCTATCCAACAACTTAAAATCAAGAGTGTAGGAGTACCATGACCCCAGCCTCTTTGGTTCAAGAGCTACTTAAGCTATTTTGCCTGCCTTTGTACTTTTGACTTTTACCGGCAGGTAAATCCATTAGAATTAATCAGTAAGTTAGGTCCTGCAATATACATGCATTCAATCTATCATTCAAACTTTTCTTCACAAAAAAGATTTGAAGATAAAAAGTGTTTGTAATTAAACTGTTAAGTTCAGTGCTTTCGTAGAAAAGGTTCACGTTTACCAGACTGTTCTGCTGCTTAAAGTCACTGCAAAATATTTGAGTAAATTGTCGACTGCTGTGAAGAAAAAAAATATATAAAATACAAACGGCAAGAGAAAAAAAGAAACACAGATTTCCATGACAAATAATTTCAAAAAAAAAAATTGAATCGTATTTATACATTCATGTAAACACGATGCAATACTTGGGTGGCTAAACTTTTAAGAGAACAATTCGTTGAAAGTAAAAAGGTTGTTGTGTATCCACTCTTTTAAACCACAGGTACCTGCTCAATGAAGACACGCAACCCTACTCCTTTGTTCCTAATAAAATCTATTCAGTTTCTTTTCCAGTTAGATCCGTAGTTACGTATGGGGCATCAGATAACAGACTGCCATCTGCCCTTCTGCAAGCCATTTCTGCCTACTACCAGGCCAAACCATGAAATGGCCCGCCATCCGCAGCTGGTCAAACTTACCCTGGTTTAGATCTGCAGCTAAGAAACAAATGCATTATTGCTACTTATCACTCAGCAATACAGTGATGGCTAGAGGATGACACGATCACCGAAAAGAAACAAAATTATCTCACAAAGAGAAAGTGCTTCTCAGAAGGCTTAGTATCAGAGAAAATCCTTTATCGACTTGCAGCCATTTTCAATTCTAGGGGACCTGCTCACAAATATTTTTTATCTAAATAAGTGATGTGACTAGCAAGTTTCTCCCTTATATATGATTAACAGAATAACAGATTTTACCTTAATTTCATAAATAAATAAATAACATGTAAATAAGCTTTTCTGCAATCTTCCATATAAAATTAAGTATACTACTGTAATTATGAAAACAAAATTTTAGAGGAAATTTCTCTTTTAATATTACAATCTGAATCTTTGTTTCAAAACTCTGATAGGAAACATGATCTAGCAATGTCAAATATGAATAAAACGTTAAATATGTATGCTGCAATTTTGCCTACTTAGTATTTGTTAACCAGCATTTCTGGGCTAAATTTTTATCATGTTTTATTTTGAGAATATTTACAATTGCTCTCAAAGTCTCAATAGCTTTATCAATTTAAGAATGAATTCTTGGTTATTTGAAACTGAAAAAACAAAAGTATTTGTACTGTTTATCATGACTGTGCTACTGCACATGCCTGCATCTGTACTAACAGTACTACAGGGAAAAAAAAAAAAAAAAAGGACTTTAAAAATAAGAATAGCATTTCCTGAAGTCATAACTGGGAAAATATATATATATTTATATACAAAGAGAGAGTCAAATTGTGAACAGGAAAAAAAAAAAAAAAAAGAAAGGAACTGAAGAACTACCTTGAGACATTCTGCTCTCTCTTGAAAGAGAGCAAGAAACATATGCTAAACGTACACATAATCTGTGCAGGTCTGTAGGAGTGAGTGTGTCTGTGTGTATATACGTATACATGCCAATTTATATATGGATATGTACCCATGTTATGTATAGAGACCACAGAATAATGTTTCACTGGAAGACAGCCCATGGGGGAAACAGGGCTGCTTGGAATTCGAGTTTGACATACTAACATAGAAACATGACAATCTGCTTCCTACCTTGCTCCTGCACGTAGTATGCCAAAAACAAATCAAGCTCCTTGACTGATACTGTTATGTGGTGTGGCTGGACGCAAAGTGCTGGATTTGTGCAATGTGGGGATTTCATGAGCCGCTCTCCATCCGTACTTTCCAAGGGGATGCCTTTGAACAGGATCACCATGACTAGATCCAGACGCCAGACTTTGTCAGCCTGTCTCAGGCAGTCGATCCTCCTAATCTTACCCTTCTGGTCAGGATTGGACAATACACAGCACGGGTGCTTCTTCCCAGTCACTGTGAGCACAAAATCCTCCCGGAACTCTTGGCGAATATCTTTGCGCAGCTTGGCGAGGAGCCTGGATGCCCACTTCTGTTTAATTTCGGGCTTTTCGCTTAGTAGCTCATCCTTAACTGCTCTTTCCTCGTCCTTTGACATTCGTTTCTCATGTTTTTTGAAGTACTTGCGCTTTCGAGCCTGGAGGTTGAACCAAGTATAGGCAATTGCACGGACATGCGGAAGAAGTGCCTCAATGAACGGGTGAAATTCATCCTGCGGAGGGAAGTGGAGGGGTAAGAAAGGAGAGAAGAAGAAAAGTCAGTAAACTGTCATAATCAAAGCAGCATCAATAAAGATTTCTGAAAATCTTAAAGCGAAATCCAAGACAAAGAGAATAAACATTCAATATTTACTTAATATTTACACAAATTTCTGCATAACACCCTTGATGTGATTACCATTGCTGTCAGACAACAGACAAAATTACACGGAAAATCACATTTTCCCATATTTCACTCTTTGAGAATAGCATCTGAAGGTTTTATTCTGTATGCCTCCCCCCACTTCATCCTCCATCGCTGTAGAGACTACATCACTGAAAAGAGATGCTATCAAAATGTTTTGTTCCGAACATTTAAACATCTGAGTGAATGACTAGCATCAAGAAAAGTACCATTGCACAAAGAGGACACTATACAGTTCTAAAAAATCTGAGCAGAAATGTTCAGAACGCTGAAGTGAATGCCACAGTTCATTTCTCTTCTCTGTGGCACAGAAACACAAAGCATATACATGCTCAGTGTAATGCCACACAGTTCCCGCTTTTGGAGCATGCTCTCAGCAAGAGCCTGCTGGTGGCACAAAGAGCATGCGCCATTAAACTTGATCCATTTTCTTATCAAACGTCCAACATTCCAGCACTGAAACGGCACCATTCCAGTGGTGGTAACTAGAGAAACCAGTATACAGTAAGGGAAAGTGGGGAAAAGGCACAGCATGTTGTACACAAACCCTGCAAAGAAGCTTCTGTACTTTCAACTCTTCAGGCTTCCCTCCCACCACCCCCAAACTCTGTAAAATAAAAGTTTATGAAGTCGAGAACAAAAATTACATTAATTTTCTCCTGGCAGCTTCACTACGGGTTTTGAAGCCCCACAGAGTCAGTTAATTTGTTAACCGATCACATGAGTGTGGCAATTATTCTAAACCCCTTAAAAATCAATCTGAGGTGTACAATGAAAAATGGCAAGTTGGCACAAACTTTGCATTCTTTGTGTTTCTGCATGCTGTGGCAGAGTGACATTACGAGTGCACCGCTGGTCAAATGCTGCTTTTGTGAAATCCGTGCCATTTATTTACAGTTCCGAAATATCCCTTCCTGTCATCTGGCTTCACCTGAAGTTCTTATCTTCTGCCTGACAGCAATATGTATTGCATTAAGGAGGTAATGCTCGGTTGTCATCTACAAGCACATTCTGTAGCAATTAAGTTAATTCATCTTGTCTGCTTGAAGAACCGTCCTACACATCCATGTTCATATCTAAATAGGCTTTTTCCAAAAACGAATGGCCCTTCTGTGAACAAATCCAATGTTCAGAACAGCGCAATCTGCTTATCATACGCTGCTGCATTTTTGCTTGCAAGTGAGATCTTAGGGGAGATATCTCCCTTTCTGTGCGCAGGCATATTTAGTTTTAAATACCAAGCAGATCGTTCATCACACTGAGCTGCACGGTGCAATCAAACTAAACCCAAATCTTTTCTTATACAATTATATTCAAGAATACAATTAACTAACTAATATTTTAGCTACACTGCTAGACGGGGAATGAATTATGCTTAATCAGAAGGCTGATTAACTCCATTAGGTAAAAATGATGAAAGTATAACTAATGGTCTCAATTATACAGAGTTCAGACTGCCATTGTGGGAGCTCCGGGCCAAGAATTCAGCATTTAAATCTTCAAATTTCAAAGTTCAGAATTTCCTGAATGGTACAAAAACCTACCAGAGCTCCTTACCTCTCTCCCCTCACCACCTCCAAAGCAAACTGAAAACAGCATAAAAGTTGTGAGTAGTTTACCTATGCCCACATTACCTTAACAGAGAAAGGAAAAAAAAAGAAAAAAAAAAAGCAGAGATGCAATATCAGGAGATAGTTCGGGGCATAAATGACTGCACTACAGTACCGTGCTTGACAAAGAGCCACAAAGGCAATAATTAAACTGGCTAGCAGTTTCCAGCGGAGATCTGAACAATTCTGATACTATGCTGGCACAAAAAACTAGGCCGTGGAAAGAGTTAAACCACAATCTGTTCTTTGTGTGGGAAGGCAATACTGCTCTGAGTAACCACAGCCCATGATAAGGCTTCATGCGTTTTCCAATGCCATGCTTTTTTCTCCTCTCTTCTAACTACCAGAGAAAGTTTATTTTTTCATCTACAAAAGCCATCTTAAAACATTTAAACAAAACGCTATTAAAATTCTAACTTAGCATAAGCAGGAAGGCTGTGTGGTATTAAATCTTTGCAATTCGTTTTAGACTAAATAAAGCAGATTTCCTACAGATCTTGAAAATGGTGACATCTGGGGTTAAAGGTGGGGCAAGGAGAAAGGCAGGGGGCTGAGGAGCTGTGGGAGAAATTATTTTTTTCCTGCAATACAGTAATTATGTCTGAAACAGACTTCAGCACTGTAGCTTAAAATGGGAATTAAATTAATGTGCAAGTTCTGCGCTAATAGAATACTGCAGACCCAGTTTTCATTTTTATGAAGAACATGGCAAACTCTTCCAGAATGGCTTCATTTTCAAGTACTTCTACTACTACATACTATTACCAGTAATAGCTAGTAGCATTTTACATCTATGATAATTACACAGAATTCTTGATTTTAAATTCCACTTTCTGGTGATTGAATGTTTTCCTTTACAAAGACTGAAAAATTAAAAAAAAAAAAAAAAGTAAGAAAAAGAAACACCTTTTTAAAACCAAATTGATGCTTCTCTTTTACAATATCACAGAGTCCTAAGTCTATAGATACATGCAAAGGATTGTGAAGGAGAAACAGCAAAGAAGATCCCATTCTAAAGCAATATTATCGGATATCTTTGAGAGATTCATTGTGCATCCGGAGTCCTTCCAAATGAAACATTACTTGACAAGAAGAAGTGCCCATAAAAATGATCCTAAGTGGAGATTTCCAATTAATCACACACTTTCTCCACTAAACCTCCTATAAAGCCATCTACAGATTATTATTTTTTTTTTTTCACCTTAATATTAGTACAGGCAATATTGGGGGAAAAAAAAAAAAAAAAAAAAAAAAAAAAGAAAGATTTTTATGTGGCACTTACCCATGTGCCATAGCTGCTCTTCCAATAAAGTGATTTATGGAAGTAAGATGTCATATCCAATGGCTCAGGTGAACCATTCCGCACTGACCACTTAAATTAACATGGAAGTTATTATAGAATAACTATGTAGTTTGTAAATAAAGGGAAAATGCTCATTGTCTAATTGTAGCGTAATGATGATAGATAGGCCAGGTTTTCTGTCTGGAAAAGGTAAAGGGGAAGTGAAGTGCTATTCTCACATTTCCCACTCTGACAAACTTCATATCAGTTCATCCGAGTTTGGACTGAAGACCATGCAATAAGTATGCAAGGCAGAAGTCCAGAAATTTTACACCAAAAACTTCAGTCGCTCCATTTCCCCACATGGATTTTCTTTGTGCATAATGAAAGAACATATTCTGAGGGGAAGAGAGAAAGACAACATATTCGGAGTTTCCTGGACCACCATAACATAAAAATAAACTGTGGTAAAAATATCACAAGAGCCCAAGCACTTGAAGGCATGCGGTAACTGCATCCTATCATGCCTCAGCAAGAGGGATGAATGTAGTTTACACTCATTCCAAAACAGGGAGAAAGGCACATACAGGAGGACAGGAAAAAGGACACCCCTTACCCTTCCCCCCAAAATTACATTGCTTTTGCTAAGCCTTCCTTCTTCCTTCAAGTTACTTTACAGCCACCAAACCTATACTGAAACACCGGTGGGCAACATCTGATTTGCCAATGTCTGTCTTAACACTGCACTTCTGGCTTTTGGAGTTGTGCTTACAAGATGCTCCGGTGCCGCACTGGCACAAATTGAGTTGTGCTCCTCGTGCAGGCAGCCTGCTTCAAACAGGTGCTCTGTGCTTAGAACTTCTACCAAAATATTTTCTTCTGAGCACGCACTGCCACAGTCAACATGCATCTATGCAGAGCCTTCAAGATCGAGAACACAATAGAGAGAGCAATTCCAGCAGTGTTCTTTTAACTCAGCTGCAACTCAAAATTATGAAAAGTGTGTGTTCTCTTTTCCATTGTAACCTTTTTTTTTTTTTTAATTTAGGGAACGACAATTTCAAAAATGCTCTCCTGGCTCCAAACAGACAGATAAAAAATCCAAACTACAATCAAACTGCTGTGATATTTCTGCATGCATGTGCCTCTACGTGTGAACGGCTTCTGCACGGCAGATGCTGCAGCATGACTGTAACATGTAAAGCATGAAGTTATTAACACGCAGGAGCCAGGAACTGCTTCCTTATATCTATTGCTGCAGAGTGCAATGCTGTGTTTCTGTACCTGACAAAGCATGGCATTTTAATAGAGATCTGCAGAGGGAAGAAATCTACTGCACCTAGGAGCCCAGTAAGTGAGCATATGGGGAAAAAATGTCACGAGAGCAGAAAAGAGCAACATGAGCTGTGCCCTGTGCGAGAGGTGCTGGTGGAAACGTGTGCACTTTCAGTGCAAAAGCTGCTGCCTCAAGTTGTACTCTGAGGTACACACTCCAGCACAGAGATTTTGCTTCCTGACAATGATTTTGCAGGACACAGCCCATTATTTTGTACTAATGGAAGATTCCACCATAAGTATGTTTTTACTGATGTGTAACACAACTGTACATGTATCTGCTATACAGCGTGCTTCCTACATGCAGCACTTTTTCTTTAGAAGGAGAAATACTCCTGCAGTACTCTTTTCCAGCTTTGCTCCACTGAAGCTCACGTTTGCTTGCTGAAAATATCCATATCTAAGTCAATCACGCTCAGATGCCAAACAAAATATAAACAATAAAAAATGTGTCAGCCAAAAAGCTACAGGACTGTATCCAATCACTGAATAAGCCTTATCATTGTTTCCATCTCCATTCACAATTTGTGAATACTTCAGTCCTTTTGAATTACAACGCTTTCTAATTGTCGAATAACTTAAATCGTATTTATTTATTCACCGTGCAGCTATAAGCGCGTTATTGGCCGCTTAATTACGGCGCACACGAGACGTTACTTTCGCACGTTTTCTTCTTCTTCTTGAGCTATTTGTCGCGCCAATGTGGAAGCAAGCAGTTATCACTTCATCAGTTTACATCACATCCTCCTCAGACACACTTTCACAAAAGCTCCTGAAAACTGTCCCCTGGCTCTGCACATAGGGTTGTCCCTTCGCGAAACGCTCCGGGGCCGCGGCCGCTTCCCCTGCAGCGCCGGTGCCGAGCGCGCTCCGCGGCCTCGCGAGGACCCTCCGCCGGCGGCTCCCGCAGCCGCTCAGCTCCCGGGTCCGGCACCGGGCAGCGCTGGGAGCTGCTCTCGGAGCTCCCCCTTTTCCCGGTGACAGCCGCGGCCCGAGCAGCGGTCCCGAGAGCGGCGCCGGGCGGCAGAGATCCCGGTGCGTTGCGAGCGGAACGCGCTCGGCCCCGAGATCGGCCGCTGCAGGCAGCGGAGCTCCTGAAGCGTCAGGCGGGGTTAGTTCGCACAGCAGAGAGCTGAGATTGCTTTCTTCCCTTTGGTCAAAGACAGCACTTTTCCTTTTTAAACCCTTTAATTAGGCTCCATGCACGCCGCAGAGCTGAAAAGAGCGCGGATAGCTTGATTCCAATCAAATCAATACTTATCAAACCCGCTTTTTTAGCGCAATTACGCTCATTTCCCTTCCGTTAACCTTTGACTCGCTGTGCGCCAGCAATTAACAGTATTTGTCTGCGAGTGACACTTTGAACGGATCCCCCCAAAACAATGGCCTGGTGCAGAGCATATCCCGAATCCCTCCTGCGAGCGGAGTTTGGGTCCGAGGAGCGGCACAACCGCGCCTTGACTCATTACAAGTGCTACACTGACTCATGAGCAACTCACACATAAACACAGAAAACGCGTGAAAATAAATAAATAAACGAGCAAACAAATGAAATAAATCAAAATGCGTCTATACCTGAGTGAGACAGATTGGAGAATACATCATGACTTCGCTTTTGCAAACGCGCTGCCCGGAGAGCCCCTAAGAAAAAGCCTCAAAAAAGGAATAATTTCATCTGTTCATTTTACAGTCATCTGAGACTCGAGGAAGATGAAATCAATCAGGACGGGGCTCTGCCCTGAATCACCACAACTCCACAACAAACCCCAGTCCTCCTTAAATAGCCAAAGATTCAAGTTCACTCCGTGCGCTCGATTTCCCGGGGTGAAATCCAATCTACACTTTTAACCCTCTTGTAGTCGGCGCGCAGAGCCGTGCTATGCTGCTGCTGCTGCTGCGGCGGCGGCTGCCGGCGGTTGTTTTGCAGATGAGGGGGGAAGGACTCGGGCGGGGGGGCGGGAGAGGGGGGAGGAGGTGGGCGGGAGGATTTTTTGTTGTTGTTGTTTGGCTTTTTTTTAATTATTATTTTTTTTTTTTTAAGAAGTTTTGGTGGCGGCTTATTACGGCACTGACACCACGCTCTCGAAAGTTCAAGGTTACAGCGCGGAGCAGAGCAGGAAAACGGCGGAGTGACGGCAGCGAAACTTTGCGCGGCGGCGACCACGCGTGCGGGGCGATCTCCGCGTCCGGAGAGGCTTCGCACGGCCGTGCCGCTCGGGGCTCCGCCTGCGCGCTGCGCGCCGCTCCGAGCGCCGCGCCGAGGGGCCGCTCCCCGCTGTAATGAAAACGATCTGCTGAAATGCAGGCGATCGGTCCCCTCCAGCGCTTTCCCTCCCGCCCCGTTTGCCTTCGCGCCGTCTCCCTTTTCCCCTTTTCTCTCGGCTCCCAGAACTTGGAAGTTGAAAAATTCGCCGGTTACACCCTCCGGACCCAGCTCCAGATCTCTTTCCAAATGAGACTTAAGTATTTCTTTTTTAATTATTTAATTACACAATCATCGCTTACACTCCTCCTCCTCCTGCTGCACATACATTCCAGCTCCGCCAGATCCCCCCCTCCCCGACCCTCCCTATTAATCACCGCCGAACGCTGCAAAAGGACCCGGCGCGCTTAGCAAACATCCCTCATTTTCCCTCTCCTCTGCCGGGAGAAAGTTGCGGCGGGGGGCGGGGGCCGGGGGCCGGGGGCGGGCTGCCATCTGCAGGAGGTTTCTCTTCCTCCTCCCGCCGGGCGCGATCCGGCGGCGGGCGGGGCGCGGGGGCGCGGGGACGGGCCGGAGGCAGCGCGGGGAGCGCTGCGCAGGAGCTGCGGCTCCGCGCCGGTGAGGGAGAAGGGAAGGGGGCCGCGTGGGGAACGCAGAATTGCCCTCGCGGTGCGCTGCGAGGCCGGCGTGCCCCCGGCCCCGGAGAGACCGCCGCCCGCCTCCCTCCCTCCCGAAGTGCGAGTTTGTTCGCATAGGGCGTTTCGTGGCGACACATCAAGGAGAGGAGGCAGGTTCAAGTCAACCATGAAATGGTCACTTTTTAACCCCGTCCTGTCCTAATTAGGGAAATGCTCAAACACAGCCCATTTTCCAAGAGGGCTCTTAATGAGGGGAGCTTGCCAAGTCCACCAGCTGCAATCCCCATAAATTTACAAATCAGAAGGAGAAGGGGGATGGGCAGGGAGACAGAGCACCCTACAGCCAGGTACTGCCACAGAAACGGCCCCAGCCCTGCACTGACGCTGCAGAATGCATCCCGTATCCCTGCAACTCCAGCTACACTCACACAGCCCCCTCAGATCTGCAGGGTTCCACCGACAGCCACAGCTTTCCCTTTCTATAGACCACATTAATCAGCGACTGGTTCAGAGCACGCATTGGGCAAGCAGGGATGAGGCAAAGTCGGGGTTAACCGCAGTGAGCACATTTGTTTTCCTATCTGGTGTAGAATACCCCCAAATCCCATCATCTTTCCCTTCACCCAGACACTGCAGAAGGCTGATAACACCAGCCCTAAATGCCGGAGTTTCCCTTTGAATAAATATTCAATTTAACTGGAGTTAATTTACCATAAAAGACATTCCCCTTGGTACAAACGCACCGATGTCCTTGAGCACACCTCTCTGCATGCTCCAACTCTTGCACAACACTGCAGACCTGCTATAAAACCTCAGCAACTCCTCTGCAGCTCCCTTCTCCTTCATACCCCTCCACAAGGCCCCACCAGCTGCGCACATTTGGGAATGAACCTCCCCTTCCCAGGTAGGGCTTGCAGAAGGCAGCAGTTCCTCCTCCAGGTGGAGGCCAAGGGATGTCTCTGCACTGAGCCCTATGCACTGAAAGCAACAGCCACGCAGCCAAATCCTGGCAGCAATGGAAGCCAGGCATGACAACTCAAACAGAGCATGGAATGAGGTGAGAACCAACACCTCCGCTGCAACAGGTGAGGTCAGGTTCGCACCCCCCTGAGCAGGCCCCCAGGTGCTTTGCATCCCTGCCTGAACAGGATAGAGGTGTTGAGATACAGCTGGGATGAAGAGGGCCCCTGCCAGAATGTCTCCTGGGAAGCAGAACTACATGGCCAGCAGAACTTGGAAGCATCTCCAGTATGTCCCATAGGAGGCAAGGTAGGCACTGATGGAAGGAGGTAGCAAAAAAAAAACACTAGGCATGTTTGGGCTCCATTCCTCTGTTAATCCCAGTGGGAGCCCACATGGAAGGCAGGGTTTGTCCTGGTACAGTGTGTTCAAGTTTGCACACACATACACACATAATTCCTTCAAAAAGAAAGCAAGCTAAAGATTTTTTTTGAACTTGAGTTAGATTTCCCTAAAAAAAAAAAAAAAAAAAAAAAAAAAAGAGTAACTCCATACTGTTTCCCTGCAGAAGTGCATGAGCAGGTACAGGCACACCTGGAGAAAGGCAGTATAATGCTGCATGGTGGATGGACCCTGGCTGCAGGGAAACCAGGTGGAACGCTGTTTGCATGCCCCCAAGTGCCTGCGTGCAGCATTTCCCCACCCAACTCACCCACATCCTTTTCTCCTACCCTTCGGCACTAACACTGCTGCTACAGTTGCCAGTTCTCTATCCTTGAAACTCCAGGGAAAGCTGTAATTTTGTGTTTGCTGCCAGAGCAATGCCAACCTCCATATGATGCTTGGAAGTTCAGCCGTTACGTCGATGCCGGTAATTAAGGAAATAAATCTTGCCCCCTCCCTGCTGAGAGCCACCAGGAGCTGCTCTGTCCCCCTGGGCTGCACGGACCCACCAGGCTGCAGGCATGGGGACACAGTGGCACAGGGGCACACAAGCACAGCGGGCTGCCCCAGCCAGTTGCATGCACAGCCTCTGCAGCGCACTCCTCCAGTTCAGTTCACACCATCCAGATGGGGAGAGAGCACCAGGAGGGCTTTGGGCACCAGGACCAGAAATGCTTTTGGCAGCCCCACTACCCACGCTGGCTTCCCCAGCAGTAGGAGTTCTGGTGCCCCGGACTTGCGTGGAAAGTCTGTTTTTAACTCCTTGGTTCACAGCGTTCACAAACTGTACCAGATGTTGGAAAGGGGCATTGCCCTTGGACTTCAGAAGTAATGACGTTAAAGAATGGAAAGGCCAGTGACATCTTCCCAAGGCAAAATTTTGGCTGATGCCCTTTGCCCACACAGCCGCTCACACGCTCTGACTTTGGAGTGCCAAAGTATCACTGTGCATCAAAATACATGGAAAGCGGCATGGAAAGCTGAAACACACAACCTCATTTTTTACAGCTGCGCAAACAAGTCTACTACCTAGCCATGCACATACTGAACTTCTAGGAAACTGTGTTTTCATGACAATTTCAATAGTTCCTTTGCAAAAGGCAGAAGCATTTGGTTGAGACACAAAATATTTAATCCAAACGATTCAGTGTCAGAGAAACAGCTCCAAAATTTTAACATGAGGCCTCCAACAAGCATTGCAGATCTTTTTATTACTAGTTTAAGTGCAACATCATTAACTTCTTTTTTACTCATGGTCAGCAAATGCAGCTCACAGACATACGCATGAGATAGACAAACACTTGGGTGCATGCACAACTTCGTGCAGCACAAAGAAAGTACAGTTTATGTCCACTGCATGTAAAAAAACAACCCAAATCGTACTGTATTGTCACAGTGTTACCTAATGATCTTTCTAACTGTACGAATAGATTTCATGCCTTGCAGGGCCGCTTGTGCCATCAACTGCAAATTCTACATGTGTATTAAAACCACAGTCTTGGTCAGTTTTCTCATGTGCAGGGGCAATGACTGCTCATACAGATGCGTGCACACAAGGAGTGGAGCAGCAAGCATTCAGGGAGCATATGTAACGACAGTGAGCTAAATAAGCAAACTGATAACACACTGGTTTACGAGGTCTTGATTTCTGTCATATGCAGCTGAATTTGTAACACATTTATGGTTCTTTTCAAACACAAATAGCAATCAGTAAAACTTCTGAGTTGGTGGAGTAAAAACCTATATATCTTCATACTTAGTAGCACTTTTCTGAGTGATCAGAAGAAACGTACTCAGTATACAAAGCATGTATGGTCAGACACAAAGCATGCACATGCACAATCAGAAGCAGAGCGCTTTTGGCTGAGCGTAGAAACACGAAGGGAGTGCGCTTGACCTCTGTCTGCATACGGTCGGATGGGGGCTGCAGTACTCGAGCTT